GCAATAGACCTGTCCGCACACAGTGAAACCTGCGAACACGTAATATTACTTACGTTATACCATTCACGTCTATATCATATCTAATTTGAGTCCGCAATCCCCGTATACATCACACACAACTACATAACAGCTAACATAATAGAGCATACCAATAAAAAGCATTTCTGGTGTGGTGTGTATTAATATCACTGATGTACTTGCCAAACAAAATGTTAATGTTACTTGTAAGCAAGATTGCACATATTGTATGACATTCAACCATAAAAAAACAAACATGGAACAACTAAACTCTCCAAAACACCTACACAATAACACTACTGCCGGGAAACACATGCACTCACAGTACACTAAGTCCCGGCGCGTACGCGATTCACTACAAACAGTAAAATTTCACACATGGCTGCAGAAGTGCTAAACTGTAACCATGCAACTGAACGTAAGTGTTCCGTAAGAATTCACAGTGAAATTCAGGAGTGCTCCGACTCTGGACGGCCCAACCGATAAGCAACGAAAATGGGTCCACGCAAGAAATCAGAAAATCACGCATACCAGGATCTAATCAGGCACCAATAATATCATATAAAATCTAACACGATCCACACTCGAGCATGAATTGTATCAATAAATACTATACTAAATACTTGTTATATCAAATAAGCTACTACATCTACACCAAAACCAGGATAAGTATAGTACTATTATTACCAGACTAAAATGACAAACTGTTATCCAGGGACCAATATACTAATATTAAAATGACGAGCTCCCTTTCTGTACTAATAATGCCTACTAAAAATATAAAAAAAATAAAGCTACTAACTAAACGCAAAATCTATTTACTACAACCTTATCATGGTACTATAGCAAGGCACACTCTCTTTGACACTCATGATTGCCCCGAGTTTCCTGTAAATTCCTATCGAAAAATCCTAACGCTCCACGTACGCCTGCCCGCGCCATTGACTCCGCGCCGCGACTGTCTGCAACGCTTACACTAATAATATAATAGCAGGTAGGAAATCGTCTGCCGAAATTCCGCTCGGACGCTCACTCACTTGAAACTTTCACAGCAACGAAATTACAATTCCACAACAGCTCCATTTTTATTCGTCTTCGAACAACTCTTCTTGTTTTTAAACATATGATCTTCCTCCACCGGCTGTGTCAGCTAATCACAAGTAGCCCAGGATGGCGATAGAATAGAAAAGACGAGAAATCCGCGTTCGCGAATCTGATAAATGGAAAGGCTGTCACCGCCAACACGCAACGATTTTTGCCACGGCCAGCGAGGCTCGTACGGAGATTGAAAGCAGTCGCCGCCTCGCGCCCGCCTTAAGCCATAACGCACGAGTGAGAACGAGGCCCAGATTCCACCCTCTCGCTAGCTTCGTCACATCCGATGAGGTCTAAACGAGGTGGGATGATCCCCAGTCTTAGACCTTGTCCTGCAACCAGTTCCAATCTAACGGCAACGTTCCGAACCGCAAAGATTTCGATCTTCTGTATTCGCCGGTATCTACAGCTCCGATATACGAACAGAGACATTATTGTTTTAAACAAATGAACACTGTCACGTCCCAAAATCGCCCTCGATTCCCCCCAAAAATCTGCGTACTGTTCGCGCGCAGCTAAATGGATGCTCGCGGTCTACACATTGCGCACGACCCATAGCTGCCAGCGCTGCAAAATGACTGTCGTTAAGACGATTCCAGAGCGGTCGCGGTACGCCTTGCCGCGAACGCGCGCAAATCTGCGCTCATCACGGGTCAAACACTCCTTCGCAACGGCTCTCAGTCATCCCGCTCATCTGGAGGTTTGGATACCCGTCTACGTTAGAACGGGTCGTATATACTTCCCGTTTACCAGTCACTGTTTAAAAACCTGCCGTTGCGCAACCGTAGTATCCACGAGAGATGCTGGCCCGAGCAAAAAACTTGCGGGCTCGCTTTCCGTCGGAACATTCTAAACAGCTCCTGCAGCACGGCACGATTTTTCTCGTATCTCCAAAAATTTCGCTCGCGGTAATGGATGGTGTTACCAGAGCCGCTTTGAAAGCTGACAGGAGCGAAATCGCTGGTCGCTCCCATGTATTTTTTTTGCTGATGGACGGTCACGTTTAGCGCGTTCGATTTGCTTCCCCAAGTTAACCTGGGTCTATTCGGGCCAGCCCCAAATACGTTCGATTTGCTTCCCCAAGTTAACCTGGGTCTACTCGGGCCAGCCCCAAATACGTTCGATTTGGCAGTCACGTGGTATTTTTGCGTTAACCCGGCTCAACCCGGGTGAGGCCGAAGTAACCCGCTAGCCGAGCCGCTGACTTGGGGAAATATCCCACAATCCATTGCAACGACACCATGCATGGCGACGATATATCAGTGCGGGAATTGCATGAATGTAGCAGTAGTAATGAAGCATGACTGTCAATGACTGCGTGTGTTTGCTCATTCTTATATTGCAATTGCTATTCTGTTTTTCTTGTCACTGGCATCCATGATGATAATTAACCCGGGTTAACCCAAAAACCGTTCGTTTATCTTCCCTAACCCAGATGCGTTCGATTTCGTACCCAGGTTAACCCAGGTCGCTCTGGGGAAGCAAATCGAACGCACTAGTTATGTGGCAGCACTAGTGTTAGGATTAGGGTTAAGGTTAGGGAAATAAGGCCATGTCTAGCACAGAAGTATGACTGGAATCTTTCTGTGGACGATTTGGACTTTGAAGCGTACGAAGTCACTAGTGCTGCCACGTAACGGTACCGTCTATCTACGTTAATGTTAGGCTACTGCCATTGCCCGTGGCGCTCATAGGGTCTATGTCCCCCAGAGTACTGCCCTGGGTACGGTCCGGTATACCGGAACGTACCCTGGTAACTATTTGATAGGGTTAGGGAGTAGGTGTAGGCGACTCCCTAGACTCGTTAGTGGAGTAGGCGAGGTACGGTCCGGCATATTACAATTAGATAGTACCAGGGTACGTTCCGGTATACCGGACACTACCCAGGGTACGTTCCGGAAGTACATCGGATCCATCAGTACTGGTATATCGGATCATGACATGATTGTCACTGACATGGATATAAAACCACGTCATATAAAACAAAAACCGCAGAGTCGCCTGCAGTACCCGCGTGCAAACTGGGATAATTTCAAGTCCGACCTGGACAGCCTAGCCACGAGGATAGACCAGCTCTACTCAAATGGTGCCGATGTCCATAAATTATGGGAAACCTTCAAATCGACTATAATGTCAGCTACCGTAAAGCACATACCATCAAAATTGGTGAAAAAAACCACTCTCCGCCATGGCTCACGCATAAAGTTTGCAAACTGCTACTCCGGAAGCGTCGCCTACATTCAAAGACCAAGGAAACAGGAAATTGGAAAAACTATTACCAGTTCCAGAAAGAATGCAAGCGCAAACTCCGCAGAGCTGAATGGGAATATGTAAACAAAACAATCCAGACCGGCTTCGAAACCAAAAATACCAAACCATTTTGGAAATACATTAGATCAAAAAACAAGACAGCGTGGGTGTCGCACCACTAAAAGATGGGTGTGACCTTGTAAGCGACCGCCTACAAAAGGCCAAGCTCCTTCTGAAGCAGTTCGAGTCCATCTTTAATACTGATGACACTGCTAACATCTCAAAAATGGAAGGTCCAGAATATCCAGCCATGGACACCATCGCTATCACATTAAATGGAGTCATAACACTGCTCAGAAACTTAAATCCTTCCAAAGCCACTGGCCCAGATGGCATCCCCATCATGGTGTTAAAGGTATGTGCAGAAAATGTGGCTCCAGCTTTATGTAACATCAAACTATCAAACTATCAAAAGTCTCTTGACACAGGCGAACTACCTTTAGACTGGAGAACAGCAAATCTTGCCAGCATCTTTAAGAAAAGTGACCGTCACCTAGCGGAGAACTATCGCCCGGTATCGTTAACGTCAGTCCCATGCAAAATCCTCGAACACATCATCAGCCACCACATGCGACAGCATCTCCAGCATCACCGCATACGGACTGACCTAAACCATGGGTTCCGTTCCGGTTTCTCCTGTGAGTCACAGCTGTTGACAACAACCAATGACATACTCACAGATTTTCGACAATGGAGCTCAAGTGGACATTGTTGTTCTCAACTTCAGCAAGGCATTTGACACCGTAACCCATCGCCAATTACTGGCCAAAGTCAATTGGTACGGTGTCAGAGGCCCCACACACTAGTGGCTATCAAATTTTCTAATGGACCTGACTATGAGAGTAGTACTTAATGAGGAAGTGTCAGAGGAAGTACATGTGAAATCAGGAGTGCCCCAGGGCACAGCACTGGGCCCTTTGCTTTTCCTCTGTCAGATAAACGACCTACCACTGAGCGTAAACTCCCAAGTCCGTTTATTTGCCGATGATTGTCTTCTCTATTGCACAATCAGAAACATCACAGACCATATAAAATTGCAGGACGACCTCACATCCCTGGAATGCTGGGCAAAAAAAAACAGGGGGATGCAGTTCAATGCAAAGAAGTGTCATATCCTGAGCATTCGGAACAAGTCTCAGTATATGTACAGCCTCTGTGGCGAAATACTCAGGACTGTGGAGACCAATCCATACCAAGGTGTTCAACTGGCCAATGACCTCAAATGGTACCACCACATCTCAAGCACTACCAAGAAAGCATCATCTACTCTGGGCTTCCTGTGGAGAAACTTACGCAGGTGTCCACAGCAAACCAAACGTATTGCATATCTCAGCCTAGTACGACCCATAATGGAGTATGGTTCAATAATATGGGACCCATACCAGCGACAGGATATAGACCGACTAGAAAAGATACAACACCGTGCAGCCCGCTTCATCACAGGGGACTACCACAGCAGAACTCCAGGCTGTGGTACAGACATGCTATCGTCCCTACAGCTGGAAAGCCTCTAAAACCGCCGTCGTGATATGCAACTAACCTATCTCTACAGAATCATCAGTGGGCTGGTACCAGCAATGCCCCTGTCAGATTTTCTACAACCAGTTCAAACCGGAAAAAGACGAGTGAGACCACCTAGCAGATACAACAAGGAGAACATCAGTGCTCCCATTAACGAACGTGCCATCTGTCTGAACTCAAAAGGATTCAACGTACCAGCGTACAAAACTGACCAGTACAAGAATTCCTTCTTTGTCTGCACAGTGATACAGTGGAACTACTTGGGTGACCACATAGTAACTGCGGACAGTGCTGAGCAATTTACATCTAAGCTCAGCCAACATCAATTCTAAAATAATTAGCCCTCTCCCGATTCCGTTTCCTCGATGCCAATTTTGGATACTGCAACGTACTACAACAGAAACAGAAACAGAAAGTACCCTGGGGGACATAGACCCTCTCAGCGCCAGTAGCAGTACTGCAGTGCAAAACATTTGTTAAAAATGGTTTTGAACAAGTATTAATTATTGAATGATAAGCCAAGTTACAATCGTGCCTGGGCTATTACTATTGCTGAGAGCCTGAGAGGGTACTGTCGGAACGTACCCTGGGTACGGTTCGGTATACCGGAACGTACCCTGGTACTATCTAATATGCCGGACCGTACTGCCTATCACTAACGAGTTAGGAGTCGTAACGCTACTCCCTACGATACTCAACCTAACCTTATAGATTAAGTTACCAGGGTAGTTCCAGCAGTTACCTGGGGACATAGACATATGAGCATTTATGCTTATTCAGTATATCAAGTTGTACATAATTAAAGTTTCAAGATGGATTACTGGTTGGAGTACTGAGGGTATAACTAGCTTATACTTTACTTAGATATATTTAGTGTTTAGGCTATTATTGGCCTGGTTGTAGTACTAATATAGTACTAATATAGTCACTGATGGTTGTGGTTAATTTAGGTACATGTGTTATGTCACTGATCATGCAGCTTGCAGGTATAGGTTAGTTCAAATTAAAGTTCGGGTGTTGCTATCTTCTTGTATACTACTATTATTTAGTAATAACTATAGCCAAGTCATTCTAATAATTTTTGCACAATTTATGATTATTTTGGCGACAAACTCTCTAATCCCGTCCGTAGTAACGTTGCAGGGTTCGTAGCGGGTTCTCATTTATAAGTACTTATTTTGCCAAAGATAATAAGAGGCCTTATTAGTACTTTATTGTCACCCGAACGAAGTTCGTGGGGTTATTATGGGTTTGGCATGTCGCGCGCCGCCGCCGCGCGCCGCGAGATATCATATAGTGAGCGCTCTAACCGGCTTGCAGTTCTTCTCGTTTCTTCAATTTTTCCATGAGGGTGCTTATGTTTTAATGAGCGCGACACCTTCCGTTGTTGGTGTAGGATGAGTCATCGTTTGCCATGCGTAAAAAATTTTTTGTTCGAATATTCTAGAACTGTAACTTCTGCACTTTTTACGCCGATTGTCATGAAATTTAAATTTGTTATTTAATTTATATTAATTTAGTATTAAATGTAATTTAAACATAAAATAAATAATTTAATAAAATTTAAAATAATTTAAATTTAATATTTGTATTAGATTTGTATTTAAATTTCATGATTGTTTATAGGACGTGTTATATCGGCCCGGTGTGCCAAAATTTCCATGACAAGGGCTACAATAAACAGCACACTCAGGTTCTACAATATTTCCACAAAAATGTTGGTTACCATGGCAACGATATCCACCACACAAAGACACTGGGCTTCGCTTTTACTTAAGCACTATGCCATTTTTGAAGTGATCCGAAGAGTACGGTATAAACTGAAAATGCGAAGGAGAATGAATTATTAAATAAATTATTGCCACTTTCATGCAATGCATATTTTGATGGCAAAAGCATTGCAATATGGATAAAGCTAGATGGTGCTGAGCTATAGGTTTCGTAGGTGATCGGAATGAGACCTACGCCTTTCTACTATTATATATATAGATAAGCACCTTACTGTATAATCTATCTGTTTACTGTAACGGCGCCGTGCGTATTTCACGTATCTCCCTAAAACGCCATTGACGAGAATGTCCGCATTCTCATTACGGGGGGTGGGGTTTCCAACGGTCCGGCGAAGACGATAGCTATCGTACTAGCCTATATTTCCCATACAACGTTACTTAAAACACATTGCACGACAAAAATTTCACATTTTCTTTCGCAAGGTCGGCCATTGAAGATCGGTACTGCTTGCCATCTCTAGGCTTTACGGACATTATTAACGACAAAAAGTCATCGATAACGAGATGGGGGGGGGGTACTATTCACAGTTTGAAATAAATGCTTGTCCATTTCAGTGGACAATAATGCTCTTTTCACAGATCGACGGGGATAATTCAAGTTTTACAGCTAAAATTTCAACCTTAAGAGTTAAGGCTTAGAAGTTACAAGTGTATTTTCTTGATTAACAACACTTTGAATCAAAAATATTGCTTGTGCACAGTAGTCATGCTTATACATTGGTGTGTGTGTGTGGTCGTGCGTGGTGCGTGGTGCGTTCCGTGACTCCAGGCCATAATTACTGGCGAACTAATTGGTATGTTTACACATCTTGGGAGAAGGTTGTTCGATACCAAACAACACTGTCCTTGGACTTAGTTTGACTTCACCAATCGACCTTTCATTTCTGTTCTGCTGTCTCAGCGGTAAACCAGATTCCATATATTCCACATCTGAGGCCACCAGGTTGTATACAACCTTTGTCTTTGTGACTTATTTTACTTTACTGCTTCTAAGTCGGCTTACAGGAATACTTCCATTCTACTAGATCACGGGGGATACATGTAGTTTGCGGACAACTGCCGCGTTTCTTAGTTTTTTGTTGAAATCTGTAAAAGTTACTTAAATAGTCTTATTTTTTGCAAAGGACGCATTTTATAAGCTGAATATTAAATCTGCTGTGCAAATGTGTATATTATATTATTAGTGACATATTAATAGTCGGTGATCTATCAGAAATCGCGTAAAAAAGTCTTATTTTGGCTCCAGAAAGGGTCTTATAAGTCCTTATTTCAACAGGTGTCTTACTACTATGAACCCTGCGTTTACGCATCAATCAATAATGAAGGAGTCGATCAATGATCGGAAAGTCCAGATGTGCTATTTAGATCATAGAAAAATGGGGTATAAAATGGCAAAGGCGCGCTTACGAAAGTACATGATTAATGTAAACACTCGTGCGTTTTTACTAATTTTAGTGTTTGCATTAACAGAAACATTGCAAAATATCCCAAATGACCACAGTCATATTTGTAAATGTGTCTGTAAACAGAAACGCACCTGTGAATTGAAGTACGATGTTAGTGAAGAGAGTTATAGATCAAAAACCTAGGCCAGTCCTATCCTACCTATGTTATAAAAAGGCAACTTATACCCCCTCTTATTTGATTTCAATATGGCGGCGGGGACATTCCGATATGGCTAATTGCGTACCATGTACAGCACCGCATGGGGCAGCCGGGCTACGCACGCTACACGTATAGGTACAACTAGCGCGGGACGCGAGTCGGGACTTTGGCAGCGTGCCAGAAGGTCAATGCATCTAATTTTTTGGCCGTCATATCATGTAAGTACATTGGGGCTATAAAAAGTTGCATTTTATAGGCCCTATAGGCAACCCAACCAACCTACCACCCTCTCTGTAGGCTACAGATCTAGGCAAGGCATCAGATTCATCTATCTCTTTTTAATAACAATGTGTACTAATACTTTACAATTGTTCCTGACAAAAAGAACCAAGATGATCGAGCGAATTATGGAAATTAGTCATATAGGCCTATGGAGGACAAGGTGGACAATCTGGATTTGTAATGTTTACAATGGGAGACGATGGCTGCCACGCACATGACTTGTACCATGTAGTTGTGTTATACATGTAGCTAGCTTTAATAGATTTATTTTTCTGAATTTCAGGATATGTTGATGGCGAAGAAAGCTTACAGAAATTTGAGGAGGACTTGCGAATTGAATCCTCACTGATATTTTCGACTATGGCGCTGCATACAAGAGACTGTGCCTCAAAAGCAAAGAAGCTTCGTTATACAGGTGAAGGTGGGTTCAAGTATTATTATATTATTCATGCGAGTTCCTACCTAGCTTTCCTCCATGAAAAGATGAGGAGATGAATAATTGGATCATCGCTCTTGGTCGACTGAATCTGCTGCCACCTAGCAAATTATTTTTATTTTTGAAAGCAAGTCTGCACTTGAATTACACTGATTTTAATTCATTGGATGGATTGACTGAATTTCCGAATGATTTAGATTAACTGGTACTTAGTCCTACACAATGAGAGCAGACCCGTGAAAATCACCATTTCAGATCTTCAACAATTTGGTTGGGGGGATCTATAATCCCTTATTGTCATGAGAATGACACCCTCTCCCCAAGTGAATTTCCTGGTCAGTATAAAAAAATTATGAGCCATTTATGTGTGGAGATATTGAGCCTTCAGTATACATGTAGCTGATGATTTCTTTTTCAGGAACACTCCATTGGTCAAGTAATGCTGGGGACGTTCACATTCCATTCATGGGCATTCCTTTCCTTCTGCATGCAGTAACGCTCAAAGAATGCATGTATGGGGTTGACCACCATAAGGAGAAAGATAACCCACCTGAGGTATGTAAACCAAACCCATCTACTGGGTGGTTCAAAATCTTATATATATTGCTAGAATATTGATTATTGATATTATTAGTCTGCAGTTAATTTATTGTGTGAACATTTTGTGGTTTGAATGAACTATTTTAACAAATGAAAACGTGTGATTACATGCAATTCTGGCTACTGCGCAGAAAGGGTTAGCAATATCTAGTGAAGTCACGATCATCGATTATACTCGATCATCGGTTGAACAGTGGCTCGAACCAAGCGCCTAGTGAAGTCACGATCATCGATTATACTCGATCATCGGTTGAACAGTGGCTCGAACCAAGCGCTTGGTTATCAAAATCCATAATCAATTCCATCATTTTTTTTTTTTTAATTTGAACAAGAAAACTTGGAAAAGTGATGAGAATCAGTACATGTATTATACACACAGTAGTAAACAGTGCAAAACAAACAGTAAACAGGGCTAAACAAGTACATACATGCACACACGTACATGCACACGACGTTACGCACACGCAGGCATTCAACACCCTGAGTAACCGATTGTAACCGATCATCGGTTACTTAGGTCCAACCGATGATTGATTACGAAATTACAACCAATTGACAACACTAGCAATATCACTATTGAACATCTGAAGGTTGTCCTGTTTGTGGCGACAAGAACACAGATGGCAAGCTGCCTGAAGGAGTATACCATCTGCCGTTGATGTTATAGAGTCGTGTCAATAATATAGTGTCCGTCTTAACTAACATTCGTTCCGACGCACCCCACATCTCTTGCAATTTTTTCCCTGTACTACTTTTCTGCACTTTAACCAGAGCATGATCTACGAAATCTTTCTATGTAGTGTTCAGGACCTAAGTGAGCTTCCTACTTGTCTGGTGTGACTGCATTAGATTGTGCTGCCGACTTTAGAGATACTACATATTCTTTTCTCACGTTAAATCCCATTTATTCATTTGTGATTATCTGTCCGAGCCTTTACATTCATACACTAATATCTAGTTATTTATTCACTTTCATTGTAAACTAATGACGTTTACGACAGTCAAAACGTACACTACAAGTCCCATATCATGATATGCAGTACTCAAACTGGAAATGAAAGTGTCAATGACACTGTAGCTCACCTTGGGTGTGATAGAAGAGGGAGGGGGAATATATAAAGCAAGAGTATATATGGGAAAACTCCCATTATATAGCATATCTCCCATTATATACTCTTAATAATGATGATATATGCGTAATTTTGGATGCGAAAATAAATGTTTCAGATCTGTTGGCATACAATCTGATGGCGTTGACCATAGGCAGACACTGAAATGCATAATGAAATTGCCAAAATCTACCTAATTTGCATAATAAAAAAATAAAATAAAAAGACCCGTGTGATATGTTTTGGGGCCAGTCCTTATTCATTCACATACCAGAATTGAGCAAAATCTGTTGAACCTGAACTAACTTATGGCCATTTCCATTTTTGCCAAAAAGTGGACGTCGCTCGAAAGTAGATCGACTGGCATGCTTCAAAATAGGACGTTGAAACCTCTCCCATAGGAGTAACAACCGTATGCAATTTGAAACATGTGGGTCAAACGGTTCTTGAGTAATCGTTGACCGTAGGCACTCTCTTCAAAGCCACTTGCTACGACATATGTTGACAATTTTTTAAATTTTCTGTTCTATCTTTTCAGGCCTATGGTGATCATTCAGACTATGGAAAGTCCAAAAAGAAGAGATTCTACATTCAACCCTCTGTAAAGAGGGGATGTCGTGCTGTTCTGAGGATTCGAGAGGCGAAGATTTTCTCGGATTACAAGCTGCCCAATACTGATGGCTTGAAGGCATATCAAGTGAAAAGTCTGAAAAAGGATACGTTGAATAGACTTCGGACTGACATTTCAAATGGAACAGCTACTTCAATCTCTAGGTACTACATTCATTGTCCAGCTCCAGATGCTCACAACCATGCACTGGATTCATTGGCAAACTTGTGCGCTCAGCCTGTCCATCCAGACGTTGTGGAAAAGATACATGACCTTGTGGCTCGTGGTATAGACAATGTTCGTGAAGTAAAAGCTCATCTGCGAGAATACATTCGAAATGTAATGTTCAGAGACAAGCCATTGCCGGACCAAGCAAACCAGGGATTCTATCCGACAAATAAGAATATCCGGAACCACATCAATCGGGCAACAATCCAGCACAAACACAGTACGAAGGACTAGGAGGCCCTTCATCGCAAAATTGACGAGTGGAAGCAACAAGGCCCGGATACAAGCTTCTTTTACCGACCATGCCAAACAGATGACAAGGGGATCAAACAGAACATACTTTTTGTATATCCAACTGCCTGGCAGAAAAGACATATCAAAATATGGACAGGTTTGTCTAATCGATGCCACATACAAAACAATGAAGTATGCCTTGTCACTGTTTTTCTTGGTTGTGAAAACAAATGTGTCATACACTGTGGTTGGCACCTTACTTGTACAAGAGGAAAATGTTGATTGTATTGGTGAAGCCCTTGGAGTCTTGAAAGGGTGGAACCTGTGCCTGTCTCCCAAGTATTTAATGTCCGACTGCAGTGATGCTGAGATTGGTGCTTGAATACAGTGTTTCCTGGCACTATTGTGTACATTTGCAATTTTTATCGATGCCAGGCATGGAAGTGGCTTCGATGGGTGCGTAAGTCTGGTAATGGTCTCTCCCCTCTTGAACAGAAAGATTTGCTGCACCACCTGCAGTGTTTGGCAAATGCAAACAATGTAGGAAAAATGAAGGAGGCCCTGCAGGACTTGCAATCTAGTCCGGTTTGAGAGCACCAAAAAGTCCGAGAGTACACGAATTCTTACTGGCTCCCTCGACAAAAACGGTGGATGCGGTGCTATCGACAAACAACATATGATGCAATCATAAACACTAACAATGGTGTCAAGATGCAGAACAAAGTCCTGAAGCATTCATATCTTGCGAGTCACTCTGACAAAAGTTTGACTGGGGTGATCTCTGTGATTCATGACTTCTTCCTGCCCGACATGTACCAGGACTATGTTCGCAACAATTTTGCATTAAGTTCAGACTACAAACAATACGGTGGCCAGATTCCAGACTACCTCCATGAGCGTCCCCACGAGTATATTTGGCACATTCTGAAGAGGATGGAGTCTGCCAAGAGGGATTTTGTGCCAACAGATGTCCATCCAATAACCAGTAACGTATCTCGCGGAATTCTGCGACAACCTTGGAAGGTTTACATTATAAGGTGGATCTCACCATCCCTTCATTCAACTGTGAAGATTTTACACGCCACCGCTGGCTTTGCAAGCATTTTTTTGTCGTGTTTGTTGCATATCCTGATGATTGGGACTATAACAAGTTGCCAGAGTCTTACCGAAACAACCCGTTCGTCCGGATCGATACAGACGCATTTGAAAGTCCTGACCATGTTGAAACAAGTTCCCTCAGTCCTACACTGCCAAAACCTTCTGATGACAAGGGTGAAGTACATGTAGGCCTAGAAACAGAGCAGTCATCTGAAGATGATGATGATGATGATGTTGAGTGTGATGCTGATGAGCCTATCTTGCTAGGTCTTCCTCCACTGAGGCGCTGCAATGTGAAAAAAATGAGACGTTTGTGTGCAGCTGCTGCTGAAGAAGTGCGGAGTGCTCTCTACCTTTGCCACGACACGGTTGCACTACATGAATCAACTCGAAAACTGAAGGAGATTGCAGAGGTCATCAAGTCTGGCGCAGTGTATGGTGGATTTTTCTTGAATTCACCAACGAAGAAGAATGATCCAGCACAGAAGACAAATAAACAGAAGAGGCACCAATCGATGCCAACCTGGATTCCTCCATTGAACCGTTGGCAAAATACAAGCCTCCGAGGGCGACATCGGTACAGGTCTGGTGCTGTGGCAGAAATATTCAGAACATCATACAAGGTGAATATACCTATTGTGGCACCAGACACCGGGGACAGCAAAGTGACCATACCTGTAGGCCTACCTGTTGCAGCACCAAAGTCGGACACCAAGACTGCGATTCCTGTGGGCCAAAGTAAATCTTCTGCAGACAATGTTTTACTTGGCAGTCGCCCTCTTTGGATCAATGACAGAAATATTGGTGTCAGTTTGTCGGTCAAGGACAGATCTATTCTTCTTGAGAATGAGTGGTTGTCCGATATGCATATCACTACTGCTCAGCGTCTCCTACAGCATAAGTTTCCAATGGTCTCATCCCTTCAGCCACCAGTCATAGCTCCACGTTTTTGTGCTGTTCCGGGTGAGGCTGAATACCTGTGGCAATCATTGGATGTGGCAACAGTTACCAATGTTGGATGTAGAAATGAAAATGAGTTGCACATCAATGACAGTCTATATTCTTAAGTAGCGGAAGACACGAAATTGAACTGTCTACAGCTGATGCGACACAGAAATGGGAAACTCTCGATGGTCATTCAGCCAATGAGGAAGCAGCGAAATGGAAATGACTGTGGCCTGTACGCCATTGCTGTGGCTACAGCAGTGTGCCATGGATTAAACCCTTCAACTCTTTCATTTAAGGAAGAAATGTTGCGCGCTGACCTTGCAAGCTGTTTTGAGAGTCTTGAGTTGACACCGTTTTCTGTGGTACCCAGTCCTGAAAACAGTGTTGCTTCTGTTGCTAAACATGTTAGTGTACTGGGCTATTGCGGATGTTTCAAAGTCTTGTGTGTGAAGGATGATATGAAGTCATGCTCTGCTCTGGAGTCTATAAATGTCTGTCATGCTTGCCTTTGCTGTAAATACATACACAGTTAGCCAGCCACGGATTCATGTCTAAATGACACATGTTTGAGGTGTTCAACGTGGAAGGCAGTTGAAGCGAGCACGCGTGACGTATGTAGATACATACACAGTTAGCCAGCCACGGATTCATGTCTAAATGACACATGTTTGAGGTGTTCAACGTGGAAGGCAGTTGAGCGAGCGCGCGTGATGCATGTAAATACGTACAAAGTTTTTTTTTTAATGTTTTTTATTTCTAGATCCACCAAAGCAATAATAATCAAAACAATAGGCATACATTGGTACATATAAACAATAATTAGTCTTTGACGAGAGCTATACAGAGTAATTTTTGCCATAATTTTTGGCAGGGGATATCTACTGCAACATGCAGCAACAGAAATAGGCAATATATATATATAGGCAACCAGGCCTTTTTGTATATGTTAAATACTTACAAACATTAGAATATAAGCTATTTAAAGTTTATGTATTACTGATGCCATTTTCATAAAATCTGTCGAGTTTGTTATTTGTTGCTGCTATGTATTTTTCAATTTCCATGATGTATCTAATATGCCTTCATGCAAGCCAGGGTTGGGATCTTTTCGTTCAACTAACTTTGAGCGATATATAACATATTTAGTAATGTGTAATATGAAATTAAAGATTATTCTTCTTTTGGAGAGCCCAGAATAATATCTTGCGCTCCAAAGGTTTCAAGTGTGTATATCCGCAAGAATACAACCACTGGAGCAGATCGGTCCATATCAAAGCAGTACATCACATTCTACAAATAGATGAAGCAATGTTTCAATACTAACTTTACAAAAGTACATGAGTTATTATCCTTGATGCAAATTGTCGTGAGAAGTTTATTGTAGTAAAATTCTTTTTAATATTTTATGTTGGAAATATCTTAAATTGTGCATAGTGTAGTGGTAAACGGTAACTATATATCTTTTGCCACATTGAATATTGAGCTGATCTATGTTTGGGTGTAGCTCACGTATCCATTTTTGCCTGTGACGATGGGCAATTTTGAGAATCCTTATCTTGAAGATAGAATTTTGAATAAGCACTACATCCCTTGTTTACGCTTAGGAACAGCCTGTAGCTGCTGGGGTAGTATGGAGGGGGTTTGGGTGATTTTATTTTTGGCTAATGCTTAGCCAGCTCTGTGGTATTGCTGCTTTTTAATTAAAGTAGTCTAAAAAGGTTATGTTAATTTTGTAAGTCAGTTTTTAGCTCAGCTATATTTTTTATATTACAGTATCGTGCTGCATTATGTCCTATAAAAAATCCAAGCGGCGCATTTTTAATGGATTTTTTTTACCCCAAGTAAAATGTGCTTTATCTTCGTTAAAAGCTCTCACACATCTACGAGTTCTTTTTCAGCCAATAAACGACTTTACCACGTTTCTGACCCTAGGGTTATTGATGGCTTTTATAATTTAGTAAATTTTTGTGGGATCTATTACCAAATTCCAGTCTCCACGATAGTATAAAACTGTCATTCTCAACTGCTCGACAATATCATTATGTTGGTGTAAAAGTCAAGGCTTATCTTCATTTGGACCATAGAGATTTGCTACAGGTAAATCTCAAGGAGTTAGTTTATGGAGATATCAAGGATGATATAGTTTTCCATTTTTAACTTTTTTGGCTTTTATGTATTTCATACTCAAAGCCATTATTAAATAGAATAGCAACTCCCCTGGCCTGTGACGAATATGGACATATTAGACATTCAAGGCCCCATTCTGCTTTTACATAGTTTTCCAGTTTTGGGATCAATGTGTATGTCTTGTAAACAAGTGATATGTAGTTTTGTTCATGAAAGCGTTTAAAAAAATCCCTACGCTTGGTCCGATCTCCATCCCCTACAGTTTTAGTGTGTCTGTATGCTTATAGACATTTTGTTTATATTTTAAAGTTGAAAAAATAGGTTTGAACTATATATAACATGAGTATGTGGAAAACAGTAAAGGTATAAATTGTTGAAAAGACATTTAGGAGGGCATTGCATTGTTTTGGGGCTCTAGAAACAAGTAACGTGACATTTGGAACAGAGCAGGACATACATTAAGGCAGACAGAACATGGCAAGCCTGTTGTGGTCGCATCAACAGGTGTTCTACCGTGGCAGGACTTGTGTATATCTAACACAGCGCATGCAACATAAAAGGAACAAACATGAACTTCCCGTTCTTGAACATTCATTACAAATTGTGGTTTGACGTAAAAATACGTACAAAGTTAGCCAGCCACAGAGTCATGTCTAAATGAACATGTTTGAGGTGTTCAACGTGAGAAGCAGTTGAGCAAGTGCGCGTAACGCATGTAGATACGTACACAGTTAGCCAGCCACGGATTCATGTCTAAATGACACATGTTTGCGTGTTCAGCGTGAAGGCAGTTGGGGGTGAGCGAGTGCGCGTAACGCATGTAAATACGACAATCACCCCCCGGCAATTACACCGCCGCGGGACAATTACCCACCGACATTTACCCGCCGGAAATTTACCCCCCGGACAAGGTGGAAGAGGAAGAAGGTGATGGAGGAGGAGGAGGAGGAGGAGAGGTGAGGAGGAGAAGAGGAGGAGGAGGAGGAGGAGGAGGTGGAGAGGGTGGAGGAGGAGGAGATGAGGTGGAGGAGATGAGGTGGAGGAGGATGAGAGGAGAGAGGTGGGGGACGGGAGGAGGTAGAGGAGGGCGCTCTACCTCCTGTACCTCATCCCACTCCCTCCTACTCCTCCTCCTCCTCCACTGTCCGATGCCCACTGTCCAAGGTATCAGGACAATTACCCCCTGGCACTTTAGAGGAGGAATAGAGGACGGCGGAGAAAGTAGTGGAGAGAGTAGGAGGGGGAGAGGAGGTGGGAGGTGTAGGTGTGGTTGAGGGGAGGAGGAAGAGGAGAGAGAATGTGATGGAGGAGGAGAGGAGGAGTAGAAGCGCGCTCTCTACCTTTCCCACTCCTCCTCCACCTTCTCCCCTGCCTCTCCACCACCTTCTCCCCACGTTCTCCCGCTTCTCGCTCCTCACCTCCTCTCCTCAACCTTCTCCCCTCCTCCTCCTACACCACTTCTCCCCCTCCTCTCCTCCTCCACTCCCCTCTTCTCTCCTCCACCACTTCTCGCTCTTCCTCCGCCACTTGGCCCTCGCTCCGTCCTCACCTTCTCCCGCTCCTCCTTCCTCCTCCACCTTCTCTCCCTCCTCCACCTCTTCTCCTCCTCCTCCACCACCTTCTCCCCCCTCACCACTTGGCTTCCGCTACCTCCTCCTTCTCTACCTTCTCCTCCTCCCCTCCTTCTCCCAACGTTCTCCCTCCTCACCTCTTCACTTGCCTCTGGCCTCCTCCCGCGCACCTCCCCACGTTTATCCGCCTCTCCACCTTCTCCCCCTCCTCATCCACCTCTTCTCCTCCTCCTACACCTCTTCTCCTCTTCCTTCACCTCTCCTCCTTCACCTTCTGTGTGTGTGTGTGGGGGGGGGGGTAATTGTAAGGGGGTAAATGTCAGGTGGGTAATTGTCCAAGGGTGATTGTCCGGGGGTATTTGTCCTGATACCGTAAATACATACACAGATAGCCAGCCACGGATTCATGTCTAAATGACACATGTTTGAGGTGTTCAACGTGGAAGGCAGTTGAGCGAGCGAGCGTGAATCTATACTATAAAAGGGAACATTTTTTGTTACCTATGTTCTCTTAATCTGCTCGCAGGATTTCAAATTGCTTGACTGTAAACGATGCATTACTACTCATAAGCCTCGTCTACACGGCAAACCTTAACTCGAGTTAGCGGTTATGTAGCATCTACACGACAACACCCGATAGCGATTATTACCGATTTATTATGCATGCGTGCGTGGCTGCGTGCGTATGTAAACGTGCGTGCGTGCGTGTGTGTGCAGGTACACGTGTGTGCGTGCGTGTGCAAGTACACGTGCGTGCATGTGCACGTACAAGTGCGTGCGTGCGTCCGTGCGTCCGTGTGTGTGCAGGTACACGTGCGTGCGTTCCGTGCATGCATGTCACGTACACGTGCGTGCGTTCGTGCATGCATGTGCACGTACACGTGCGTGCGTGCGTGCGTGCGTGCGTGCGTGTGCATGTACACGTGCGTACATGAGTGTGTCGTGGCGTGCGCGCGTGTGGCATGTGCACGTAGGCGTGCGTGCGTGCATGCGTGTGCACGTAAACGTGCGTGCATGAGTGTGTGCGTGCGTGTGCAAGTACGCGTGCGTACATGCGTGTGTACGTAATCGTACTAGTGCTGCCACCCTATCGTGGAGGTTAAGCTAACTCGAGTTAAGCGTCTACACGGGCCTTAACTTCGAGTTAGCTAACCTCGATCGACTGGCGAGGTTAAGCTAACTCGAGTTACGCTTAACTCGAGTTAAGGCCCCGTGTAGACGGTTAACTCCAGTTAAGGTTCGTGCGTGTAGACGTAGCTATGAGAGTGGTATAGGGCACTTTGGCAACGATCCAACACGATAAAGTTCAATTTCAAAGCCGTTTCATTTAACACTGGTCTACGCGATATCAAACCGGTATATCGATCGACGTCACTACCATTGTAGTACGTGTTGTTGACAGCTTGCGCTGTGCATCGCTGTGGCGCAGTGGTAGCACGCTTGCGTAATACGTTAGGGGCCGGCAATTGCAAAACATTTCTCGCCAGGTGCGCAACTTCTTTCTTTCATCCTAAATATATGTATATTTAACATATATTTAATTTAAAATCTATACTATAAAAGGGAAACAGCGAATTTTTATTACCTACGTTATCCACTGTCGCGAGACAGCATTTTACCCACATTCAACATGATATACATGCAAGACGGCAGAAAAATTAACAAAAAAAAACATCAACGTGTACGAATACATGTATATAATCCAGAGCAAAAGCTTTAATAATTATAATAAATAATATACGGTCAAGACAAACCAGGTATTGTACTTGTAAAGTCTTATACAGACTTCTCCCGTTCCTATTCGCCATGCGATGTAGGCGCGACTATTATAAACACGGACTGCACTACGGGACCTAATATGTTATATGCTGGAACCACAATTTTAAAGACTGACTCCAGTCCGTACAAGGCCAGCTGTCCCTGACCTGGTCCATATAACTATGACTAGGTTTAATAGCAGACTACCATCACCGGCTAGCTCACAGCAGAATGTTTTGCTTTTCGCGCACTCTTTTGGTTGCATGTTGCGCAATTCCCTCAGCTGTACTCACCGGAAGTAGTATATCCGTAGGCGCCACCTACGGGAATCATCTCGCGATAACTCTGATCGCGGAACCGGCCATTCCTGCGATATCCAAAATCCATAATCACGCTCTTCACCACACAGACGGACAGACATTTATGTGTGAGTGAGGTCAGTGTGCAGGGCAGCAAGCGTTTGCAG